CTCTCTCTCTCTCTCTCTCTCTCTCTCTCTCTCTCTCTCTCTCTCTCAACAGGACAGAAGACTCAAGTCCAATCTGTGACAAACAGCAACATTTAATCTGTAATTTCACTGTGTTGACACTGTCAAAAGCATCATTATATACATAAAAAGCATATCTAATTATATACATTGTGCATATTCTGTGGTTTGGAATGAAGCTGTGCAGCATCAGGTTCTTATTGTCCCTGATATACAACAAGCAGTCTCACGATAGTCTGTGTCACGGCACAGTATAGTCTAAAGGCCCTGCACACCCACACGGGTGTTTTTTTTATTATAAATCTGGCTGATTACACGTCTGTTGAGGTTTAAATTTAGAGGAGCTACCATTGAAACATCGTTTCAATCAAGCAGAGTGTAAACACATGCAGTTCAGAGATCTAATCAGCCAAACACAATTAAAATCATCCGTGTGGCTCTTAAAGAAATGGACATTTAATGCAGCTGTAAGCCACTCCATCCAGCTGTCAAAAACCAAACAGAGCTTAGTTTTGTGATCTTTTGCTGCAGGGAGGCCTTTGGACTCGCTATAGCAGGAAAAGCACAGGTGTCAGTGATAACCTTAACGATGCCGCCATGTGGACGGGTTATTGTCGGGTGAACACAGGTGTAATTAACATCCTGTGCATGTTGGCTCACAGGAATGGCTGCGACAATAGAATTGAACCATAATTCATTTTAAAATCAGTCACACCTGTGTTCACCCTGCTATGACACATTGGCTGCTGTAAAAAAGGGCCTGTACCTCTGCAGCTAAAATCCAAAGCACAAACATGTAATGATGACATTAAAAAAAAGGAAATATCATTTGGAAGAGTCCACTACTACAAATACACACACACACACACACACACACACACACACACACACACACACACACACACACACACACACACACACACCCCTCCAGAGAAAGTTAATCGAAGCTCGGCTGCTCGATGTCCGGGGGCACGGTGCTGCGGGTCAGGTTGGACAGGTAGAGAGCGGTAGCCATGGGAACAAGGCCGGCTGCCACCTTCAGGATGGTCAGCAGCCTCTCTGTGGCGTTGGTCACGCCGTCTGGTGTCTGGACGAGAAGAACATCACACGAGAAACAGAAAAACACGTTATGGACGGAGAACAACAAACGACTTCCCCGGGGTTCATGAGGGAAGTTCAATTTGAGACCTTTTTAAAGCCACGTAGAACAATATTTAATACCTTGTGGCCGGTTTCATGTTCAAACATGTAATTTCACGGTAAATTACTTGACAATTTCTACAACCAAATAATCGTTTACGTGGTTTTTTTGTGCTGGTAAGAGCTTCCGTTTCTTTTCGTTCTTGTATACGACGGTAAACTAAATATCACTGGGTTTTAGACTGGTGCTCGGACAAACATTTCTCACTATTTTCTGACATTTTATAGACAAAACAATTAATCAAGAACATAAATCAATAATGAAAATAATGCTTAGTCGCAGCCCTAACACCCAACATCACCTTCTACGGCCTCTTTCTGTTGTAGAAACTACATTCCAGGACTTTTGAAAAAAATACTTCAAGACCTGCAGATAACCTGTTTCCACTTTGGCGATCGATAGAAAAACGTATGTAAATCTATGTCTCGCCCTCATGCTGCACATGCTACATGTGCTAAACGCAGATACGTCTCTGAAATGATGTCTTAGGTTTAAACTATCCTCACTAGCGTTGATACAAACCTGATCTTCTGCAAACAGCAGGGGGCAGTGCAGCGACGCTGCCAGCTTTCTGGCCACGTCCAGGCGCTCGACGGGGGCCGCAGCGCTGCGAGCTACAACAGACAGATGGGGTCATGTTAACTACAAAGGGAGGGATGAGGCCTGTTATTACTAAAAAAAATAAAAAAATAAGTCGCCATACCATTAGTGACCATGAAGCAGACTTTCCCAAGGAAATATCCAGGGTCCAAACACTTCAGGGAAGCTTCTGCCGACTGGAGACTGTGAAAAACAAAAAGGTCACACGATAAACTGTTACATCATATATTTTAAAGGTTCTCTATACGGTATTCAGATCATTAATATAGCAGTAAATATATATTTGCTATGTAAAGATGAAGTGGAGTAATGTCCAACTGAGCAGAGAATGAAGTCATTTTCTCTCTGTGTCTGTGTGTGATTTTAGTTTGAGAGCCGTGACGAGGCACTAAATATGCTCTGAATTTCATATTTAGCACCTTTTAATATCTAGAGTTGTCAAAGCAGTGGATGCATCGCTAGCGAGTTAAAATTCCTCTATGTATTAAATAACAGACGGGGTAAGTGTGACACTTAAATGTGTGATTGAAGAGGAAATACAGTGACAGACTCAATTTGTTTACGGACACAACATACAAGTAGAATTCATCGGGTTTCATTTGGGCAAACTAAAAAACGACAACAAAGAGTATATATTTGACCCGTGCGTCCAGGTGAGGAGACTTAAAATAAAGAATAAGGATTTGAAAGATACCTGAGCTCTGAGGTCAGGTTGATGATGAACACCACGAGGTCTATCCTGGGACGGCTCTCCTCATTCTCCATGGGCAGAGGCAGACTCTTGGCCAGTCTCCTGATGGATGGGTACAATAAAAGCAGAGTGTGGTCACTGATATGTAGCAAACAGAGGTGGTAATTCTGTGGTCGCGTCACATGGGACAGATGGGGAAGAGGTCTACAACTTAAGCCGGTTGTACGAGGGTTGAAAATACTTTTGCGCTGTCAAAATGGCACTATGCAGGTAACGGTACTAGTTCCTGAGAATAGCAGATGATGTTTCAAGTTGTGTGCCTAATGACCATAATATCCTCTAGCGTACCGGCCGACCTCAGCAGTTTATAAAGAACATATCAGTACTCACACGTTGACGGTGAACGAGGTCTCCTCCACCAGAGCGTCTGCTAAACTCTGCTGAAACTGCTCCTCGCTCTCCACCAGCTGGAAGAAAAACACTCCTAGTCAGCACATAACTGGACTATAACTCTGTGCAATATATAACACACACACACACACACACACACACACACACACACACACACACACA